TGGGTTTTCTTCAGGGTTTTTTTTTCTTAAAGGGCCAGAGCTGGCCCGTGCAGGGCACCCATGAGGTGGTTGGCGGAGTGGGGGGGAGGGGAATTGGGGGGTTCGTGCAGTGTGGGGCAGTGGGGATCACCCCCCACCCGGCAGCACCTGCTGAGCTGGGGCTTTTTTTTCTCAAGTGCTGGGAGCTGGGGCAGACAGGGCAGCCATTGCTGGGCTGGGAGAGGGGCAGGGGATGGGGATGGGCCTGGCGTGGCTGATTTGGAGATTCAGTCAAATTGAATTGGCTGAATCCGAATCTGAAACGAATACTAGTCGCTTCGCACAAGCCTATTGTTCACCCTGCCCTCCTTACTTGCATACAAGGAGCCAGCTGGTGACTGGAGTCCCAAACAATCCAGAATGGTCCAATTTAGGTATTTACTTCCATATTTAGGCACCTATGTGTAGAGATTTCAGTCTACTGTTGTTATCATCTTTGGCCTATGTGAAAAACAAGTGTTTTTACTGTATATCAACAAGGTTCTAGTTCTTTTATTTCCTGCCCAATATTCCGCAGTGAAAGAGTAAATTGTCTTGTGGGTTCAGTGCAATTTGCTTGTGATATGGATTGTCCCCATCAGCTATGGAACTACTTTCATACACAGTACATATTAACAATACTCATATTACATACATTTGACAAATTCAAGAAGGAACTCTTTGGATTTCCTAAGAACCAATGTAATATAACTTGTCTTTTTTTTCAGATGTAGTGCCCTTGAACTTCATGTGTCCTTTCCCTTTACTGTTCAGGTATTGTTTTCTGACACGTAAATGTTAACAGATGGGAGAGCTAGTAAAGAACCACGTGGTATAAATGCTTCTCTCTTGCAAATAGGAAGCACTTTCCATAAAAAAAAGAAGAGGGCACGCGGAGTATTACCCAGGCTTCATTTTTATTGGGCTGATGTCTATATTCTAAGGCAGTGGTTCTCAACATTCTTAGGCTCAAGGCAGGCAAGGTTCTTTGAGTAGATGTAATATATTTTATTAGACCAAGTGAGTAGTTGGAAAAAAGTTCTTAGCGAGCTTTCGGTGCTATCACCTTTCTTCAGGCATAGGGAGTCTCTGCTGTTCTGAGACTCAAGGAATGAGAGAAACTAAAAACAGGCAATGCGTAGGCGGGGCACAAGGGGGCACATGCCGCCCCCCCCCCCAAGATTGGGTGGTTGCTGCCTCCCCCTGCCAACACTGCTGGCAGCAGTGAGTGGGCAGCCCCACTTGCCACTGCCAACAGCATGGACAGCAGCTGTGGGTGGGTCCTTGCTCACCGCCTGCCATGCCCCCAGCCACCTGCGGGCAGTTCCCACTTGGCCCACCCTCGCCGCTGATATCACCGTGGCCCCCTGCGGCTGATCCCCACTTGTCACCACCATGCCACTGCCTGCAGGTGGTCACCGTGCCCCACCAGCCTCCGGGGGCATGTGTTGTTCATGGCTAAAAGTGTGGCAGGATATCAGTGAGAATGTAAATAGGTAGAAATTAGAAAAAACAAAAAGGTAATGCAGGGGAGGGAGGGGGGAAAAAGCAGGGGGGAAGAGGTGAGTAAGGGAGAGTAGTAGTAGTAGTTATAAAGGTAGAAAGAGGCTGTCTGTGAAAAAGGAAATAGCTGGAAATTAGAAAGACAAAGGGCAAAAAAGTATAGGAGGGACAGGGAGAAGAGATGGGGAAAAGAAAAATGTAAGAGGTGAATCAGATGTCCAGCAGGTGGTAATGTGTCATAAATCCAATGTCTATATTGAGTCCATGGTTTTTTGTATCCGGTAGATTTATGAAGTGAAGTTTGTAGGCTTGTCTATGAAAGGTATTTTGTAAGTTCCCTTTGAGGATTAGAACTGAGAGACTGGAGAAGGAGTGATTGTCCT